CAAAGATGGGAGTCTGGATGTGAGCAGATGTGTTCAAGGTTTGCAATACCTGGTCCAATATCACCCAGAGATTCCAGTCCATTGGATGACATCTAAAGAAAAACAGAGAGAAAATAACAACCTCTATTAGCCTCTTACTCAGTCACCACATCACAAGCTCTGCACTGTGACAACAGCACCTACTTCTCCTGTGGGTGGAGAAGTCTCCCCATGACTCTCCCCCTCTGTGGCTGTGCACTCTGTCTGAGAGCTTACATAAGCCTTACGGCCCTTTAAACCCAGTTTATTGGCAAGATCCTGCGCCAGGTCGCTCACCTGACGGTCCTGGAAGGCAAATTACAGAAAAAAACTACCATTTAGCAAGTATAAGTTTCATTCACTTTAAGGTGAACTACACTGACAAACACTTTTTATAATCCATAAGGTCACCAAATAAATCACTGAAATTCCAGATGTCTGCAATGACTGCAATGAGAGAACATGCATTGCAGAACATCCTGAACAGTAGATCTTAGATACGTGTTAGGTAAAAAAAAAAGACTCATGAGTGATAATATTTTTTATGTTGATGACATACGTGTGGTGCTGTGAGGAGACACTTGGTTCCACACTCATAGGCCTCTCTGAGTCGTCCCAACTCCCTCAGACAGAGCGCTTTCCGATACAAAGCCCTGCGACTGCCTTCTGACACACACAGTGCACTATCGCAATCCTGAACACCACGCTCATACTCCCTCTGAGAGAGAAAGTTGCACTGAATTGGCAAGTTTTTTTTTTTTTTTTTACCAAAAAAAGCCACATGTAAAATGCAAACTTCTAAAGCTGAGTAAACATAATACTAGCAACTGATCTGTGCTTAGACAAGCAGATGTATGCATGCTGCCTGCTATGTTTACTATTTGTTCACATGAACAACTACACCGTGGGCTCCCTCACCATCTGATAGTAGCCAGCAGCCCTGTTGACGTAGAGACTCTCCAGCAGCTCATAAGGGATGACGAGGGCCTCAGCCTGAGCATAGCGGGCAACGCTGATCCCCTCCCCATACTGCTGGGTTGCCTGGCACCAGTCCCCATCTCGAAAGCAAGCATTGCCCTCGTCCAGCAAGTTACACACTAACTGGGTCAGAAATGCCTGGTACAGGACATGTGTAAAAACAATTTATATATTATTTAAAAATATACAAGATGAATTATAGGGGTGGGGGGAAGGGGTAACATAATAAAGTAATGGAAAGGTAATATGAGATTATCAAAATGATGCAATGAGAGGAACAAGAAAAACCAAAAAAAGACATGAAAATAAGACAAAATTTGCTTAAACTTAGGTCCAGCAAATAACAGAACAAACTGTGGGTATGGTCCTGGTGAAGCCCCAGAACAAATATTCCAGCACACTGAAAATTGGTTAAAAATGATCAATGCAAACCTCATAACTCTCAGGCTCTGGGAAAGGCAATGATGACCTGTGGACAGAAAAGAGTGTCGGTGTCCTCCATATACAAGTGATGTGCACTTTGATCATGATATGAACAGTTAGTTATAGAAGGGGAATTAAAGAAGGTCAGTATTCTTCACTTACTGGATAAAGCTCATTGCTTTCTGGATCTCCTCTCTCCGCTTCTGTCGTCCAGGATCCATAGCCTGGGGGTGCAGATACGGTTGACTTGTAACAGCATAAACTCCACTTCTTGCACGAGTATTAACAGCTACAGTCAACATATCTTAACATGGGTTTAGTTCCCTAATGGACAAAGTTGTGCTCTATAATTATTAAAAACGTCTTCAAACACTACAAACTACTCGGAGTCCCCCTAGACAAGCCAAAGGCCTGCCGTAAAAACACTTAGCACTCATCGGATTCGCGTAAACAAAGAACGGGGACAGCTACCGGTGAAGCTGGCTATTAGTTAGCGTTAGATTTGTTAATATTATGCTAATATAGAGGTGACATTGTACATCTAGAAATCCCTGATGCATCAACTGAGGAACGTCTTTGGGACAGGGGACGTGACTTAACGTTACACATAATATACGGAAATGATAAGCTAACGTTAGCATGTCATATGCAGGCATACAGATAACGATACTCAACTCCAAAAGCAATGCGTATAAAATAGACATATTACCTCGGGTTAGCTGCTAATGGCGTTAAGTAGCATTAATGCTACTCGAGGTTAACTAAGATAACTGTTACCTACCGGTAGATAGCTTCAGTCAGCTAACGCTGCTTGCTCACTTGGGCTAAATGCTAATCAATATAACGTTAACTTAGCTTAACTAATCTTAAAGAAGTGAAGAATGCAAAGAGTTTTTTAAAAGATATTGCATTCTCTTCGATGTCACGGATATTGAACCATGTAATTTACAATAAATGGTTGTTGAGAGGACGCATATGTTTACACTGCACAGAAACCCACCATCTGCTAGCTGGTTAGAAGGGTTCTAGCTAAAACTAAAGCCCTCACTTAGCACGGCAACTCACCCAGAGTTAGTCGCTGCGCTTTTCAGATCAAAGATGGTTTCACAGAGTGTTGGTGATACTGATAGGAAGAACTAACATTAGCCAGCCAAATATCAGTCACTATATAGGCGCATAATTCCAAGTTCCGTGTCCCTGTCATTTGTATGTGGACGGAGCACGAGTTTGTCTGCGCTACGACTGATGCTGGAAAAGCTAACGTCAGCTAGCCAAGGCCAGTGCAGTATCGCAACAAGTTTCTAGCGAAAGTATGGTCACAAGAGGGCAGCAAAAACCGTGTCGATGTTCTGGTTTTAGCTCTGCTTTCACCTGATGTGCCTGCAATTTTCCCCAGTGGTGGACTCACTTCAGTGAAATGCTGTATTTGCCATACAAATACTGGCCACCAAGCCTGTAATGTAATAAATTACCTGTAGGGAATACTATATTATAGGTTCAATATTTTCCACATTTTTATCAGTTATGGACTTTACACCATTTTTGTGGACATGAACTCTAAGCCATCATTGTTTCTTTTTTTCTTCAGGTGCAGGTCTCAGTAATTCTCTTTCTGATGAATGTTTCAGCAGTGGCTCTACCGTCTGAGTGAGAGTGACATTTTTGGTTCTCTTTGCCCTTGAGCTTTAGTTTAGTTTAGATAGGCTCCCCTCACATTGTTCCACCTGCCAGTTCAGGTTGTTTTCTCTGCTCACCTGCAGGGCTGGCGCCTCACTGCTACATACTTACAGGTGATCGTAAGGTCTGTGAGTTCTGCCATGATGGGATCAGAAGCCTGGGTATCTGGGTCATTTATGTGGGAGAGGTTATTTGAAATTACTGAGTAATGTATTTCCATTTTCCTTTTAAAAAGTAATAGCTAAAATAAAGTCATAAACGATTGTAAAGTTTTCTTAAATGCTATATGGTGCAGGGGCACCCTTAATAGCATTAGGTTTTGTCAGAACCGATTTCTAAGGAGTATTAACAAAAGGAAATTATCGATTAATTATTGGTAGACAACTGAAAGAAAAGCAAACGTTATTACGGAGGTCAGACAGTAGATGGCGGTAAAACATCTGTAGATTAATTGTAACTGACATAATCACAATCAACGAAAAAGAAATGCATGACGTCACACGTTTTAGCAACCGGCGCGCTGCATTGAGGAAGGAGCGTGTTTTTTATAATTTTCCTGGAAAAACACTTTTTGTGGTGAATGACAAAATTATTAAGTTTTTTTTATGTCCTTTAATGAGAGTTGGGTGATCACTCCAATTACCGTTAGACACTAGAACTCAGCTACATCAGGTTTAGTTTAACTAATAGTGTCAACGTTTTTATTTTGTGCACTACTACTAGCCATCACTGGTGAAGCTAAATAGCTAACTTGTTGAAAGGTCTCTGATGTTAGAAAGTGTTCTGTTTGTTACATATAAAGTGTCATCGATCATTATTTGACATTTATTGTGTCACGTGTACTGAATTATATGTTACTTGACTCTAATTCTTCTCTATTGTCCGACCTTTGGATGTCTCCATAGAGTCGTTATGGCCTCAGACGACATTGCTCAGCTTGCTGATGCTTTTTCCAAAACCCACGTCGGAGATGGAGAGCTGAGCTATAAAGGCCTGGGACTGAAGCTAGACAACGCAGAATCAGGTCAGAAGCAGAGCAAGGCAGCAGAGACTGCATGGGTTTGTTTTTGTAGGCAAATGCATTAGAGTACTGGTCCTTGCTTATTCGTCCGACCTGATAACCCGTTCTCTGCTTTCAGTGGAGGAGCTGGTCCGTGAGATAGAGCAGTACCAGGGTCTGACAGCTTTGTGTCTGGAGGGGAACACTGTGGGAGTGGAGGCAGCTCGAGCCATCGCCAAGGCTCTGGAGAGCAAAGACCTGCTCCAGGTACTCCTCAATGCACCAGCTTCAGCTCTTGCTCACTGGAGCATGATAACATTCAGATTTATTCAATACCAGTAAATGCTATATTTATGCTATGCTTTTATGCCCGTTGCAGTAAAGGTGACATGCAGCACTGTTTGCATTCTCTTCAACAACTCTTTGTGTCTTTCAGAGATGCTATTGGAGCGACATGTTCACTGGAAGACTGCGCTCTGAAATCCCAACAGCCCTGGTGACCCACTGGTTTACATGCTTTTCAGAATTTGTTTTATGATATACTATTTATGAATACACATTTCTTCAACATTCAGTACAGTATCTTTCCCAAATGTCTTTTGCCACCCCTCCACCACCTCCTCAAAGCATTCTTTCTCTGTGTTTTAATCAGAAGTCCATGGGCAGTGCGTTAATAAGTGCAGGCACCAGGCTGACTGAGTTGGACCTGAGTGATAATGCCTTTGGGCCAGATGGTGTGAAGGCAATCGAGCAGCTGCTGAAGAGCCCTACCTGCCACAGCTTGAAGGAGCTGAGGCTCAACAACTGTGGCATGGGGATCGGAGGAGGAAAGGTGAGGTCACAGACAGTGAAACAAAGGCTGCAAACACATTGACATAATAGTGCAGGAGGTAACAGCTCTGTTTGTGTAGATCCTGGCTGAAGCTCTGACCGAGTGCCACAAACAGTCATCAGCCCTCAGAGCTCCACTTAGATTGAGAGTGTTCATTGCAGGAAGGAACCGCCTGGAAAATGAAGGAGCCAGCGCCCTGGCAAAGGCTTTTCAGGTACAGCACTCTTGTGTCCCAGTTGACTGACACATGGACTAACACTATAAAAATACAGTAACGTTGTTAATGTTTTCTGATCCTGACGGTAAAGGAGGAGGTATAAAAGAGGCCTATATAACTGTCACTTGATGAATTGTTCTTCTCTATAAGCGGATGGGCAGCCTGGAGGAAGTCCACATGCCCCAGAATGGTATCAACTACACAGGGGTGATGGCGCTGGCTTCAGCCATGCGACACAACCCAGAGCTCCGTGTCCTCAACTTCAATGACAACACCTTTACCAAGAGAGGAACGCTGGCCATGGCTCAGGTAAGGCCTGTTTATTCTCATATTTTCCTTATGGATTTATACCTAGTGTGTTTGAGCCTAACCTGTGTCTCTTTGTGGTTTCCTCATGCTGCTCATGCAGGCTCTGGCTCACTTGAGGAACGTACAGGTGATCAACTTTGGTGACTGTCTGGTCCGCAGTGAAGGAGCCATCGCCCTGGCTGCAGTCCTCAGAGAGGGACTGCCGATCCTCAAGGTTGGTTCACCTTTATAGCTGAGCCCTGTGAGTTTGTTCTGTCAGCCTGATGACAGTGCTCTCTTTTGTGACTTGTTTATAGGAGCTGAATCTGTCGTTTGGTGAAATCACAGAGGCGGCTGCACTAGTGGTGGCTCAGGCTGTTGCGGAAAAACCTCACATGGAGAAAGTGGATCTCAACGGTACGTGCGCGGACTGGTTGTGCTATGACTGTAGTAGCAGCATTTGCATGAGGCATAATCCTAGAGAAGTTGTGGAATTTGTTTTCAAAGAATTTTCATGGATTATAGTTAAATATGAACATTTATTTTTTGTAAACCTGAAAATGTAGTAAGAAAATGATGATACAAAAGATGGAAGTTACACTTGAATGTAACTTCTAAACAGGTAATTGTCTGGGAGAGGAGGGCTGTGAGGCCTTGAGAGAAGCTATGCAGAATATGGACAAAGGAGACATGCTAGCATCACTCAGGTAATATGTGTGTTTGGAAGAGAAATGTGAGGTAATGCAGTGAATCTTTATGAAGCTATTTTCCTCTTCCTTCACTACAAAAAGTTACAAAAACTTAATCCTGATCAGCCTAATTGAACAATAAGTATATTTTCTGAGACAAATGTTTGTTTCTTCATTGTAGTGATGACGAGGGAGAACCAGATGACGAGGATGAGGAAGATGATGATGATGATGATGCCACTGATGACTGTAATGCAGACAATGAGGACCCATTGATGACTGTAATGCAGACAATGAGGACAGTGAAATTGTGAAGGAAAACGGAGTGACAAAAGAAGACAGTCCTGCTAAACCTCAGAGCTTAGTAAGATTTAAGATACATATTGTGTTTACTTCTGTACACAGTTGACACTGTAGGGTTTTTTTTTGTCTATTAGAAAGTCTTGGAAGTCCTTCCCAAGGTCCTGAAAGACCATGTCAAGGCATGTTTTTCAATAACACATGGATCAATATAAGTTCATCCCCCAACTCTAAATCACTACACAAACCAGAAGAAAAGAGATTTCCTCCATGGTTCTGACTGCACCTTTGTGTCCACTCTCAGACGGAGGTCATGTCTTTCATCAGCTGCCCCTCTGCAGAGAAGCTCACTCAGCTGGGAGAGATGAGGACAAACCTGCAGCAGCAGGTGGGAATTTAAAAAAAATGTCCCAACTGGTTGTTCTCTGTTCCCATATATTAAAAAAAAAACAATTTGATATATTGTCACTATCCAATGTTTTGAGGGTTGAGTTAGATCAACAAAGAGCTGTCTTTGTTTTAGCACAGAATGGCTGTGATCCATTGCTTTTCCTTGCTCCCCAGGTTGATGCAGCTGACCCCCACAGGGCTGCTGACATCCTACTGAAAATCACTGCTTTGTACAGTGAGAAACTAGAGACCAAGACAGTTGTCCTAGAAACTACTGGTGAATAAAATGCTCTTTCACACACCTCATTCTTTTTCTCTTTTATTACAATCATTTTAACAGTCTAATGCCATGTACAGTATGTGACAAGGCTACACCTGTACCTGCACAACACAGCCTACCCTCAGCAGTAGTTCAGTAGGTCTGACCATGCTGCTATGGGCCCATCAGCAGTTCAAATCATGTAACTGACCTGAACCTTTATACCCCACAGATGCTATGTTGAAAAAGCTCCTTTCTGGTACAACCCTCCAGTCATACTGCTTCCTCTCCACACTGCTGGTCAAGATGGGACTTCTTAAGGTACAGTACTGTTACAGTTCCCTCCTCTTCCAAGAATCTGAAGTGATGCATAGCCTGCACCACTCTTCATGGGAACGGTTTCATTTTTCTAAGAAGAAAATCTCAAATCGTTTAGGAGTTCTGCACATGGTGACTTCAGTTTAGACTGTAGCCTTGTTTTGTATGCAGCCTGTCAAATTTACCATTCACATCTGCTTTTCATAAAGGCACAATTCATGCTGGACTTGCTGTACTCTGTTTTGCCTCTTTCTGTCACTGTTCAATATGATGCAATATTAATTTGATCTGCCTCCTTTTTTTTTTTTTTTTGGCTTTTCTTTATGTTTCAGGGAGAAGGGAAGATGAAAAAGGTGTCCCTGGTCCCAGGTCAGCTGTTGTGTTTGGAGCACAGTGTGCAGCAGGACTACTTCCCCCAGCATCATGCCTCACTGCTTCGCGCCTTTCTGTCTAAGTAGGATCTTTTTTAACTACAGATTTGTAGCCAAGATTTATTTGTGAATGAAACAACAAATGTAGCGCAAAACCACAATGTTGTACGGCAAAAGGGTTGAGTCTGAGCAAACTTGTTCTGCAGCATCAAGTCATCTAGCAAGATGCTGTGTTGGCCAGTCACATGCGTACAAGTGTGCATTCCTGGTGAATTGTTTCTGCTGTTTACCTTGAGATCTTCACAACCAAAGATATCACAGTTGCTGCTGTCATAACTGGACTAAGTGTCTGTGTGAATACAGCTTTACACTGTGTATGGTTGTGTGTGACTCTGCAGGAACAGAGAAGCTTTCAGGTCATGTAGCAATGCCAGGGAGAGGCTGAGCTCTGCTCTAGAGAAGAGGTGCCAGGACCAACACTGATCCCACTGACCAACCACTGCCAGGACCAACACCGGGAAATACACACCCACTGTGCTGCCGTTAGCTTTTTTTCCCACCAAGAAAACCAACAGGGATGCTTTACACTTGAACAAGAGACTCAGACAACCACTTACTGTATCTTCACTCCTCATTTGTATATATTATGATTTATGAGACTGTTTAGAATCTACGTTTTATTTTTCTACTTATGTGTGTTACTTATATTTTTATAGAAAATAGAGATACATTTGGGAAAAAAATGCATAACTACACATCAGATAATCTTGGGGTTAATGTAAAAAAGATAGTCACTGAACTTGAATGGATCAATCTAGCACCTTTTTGCAACATGTATACAGTATACAGTGAGGAAC